TCAGTTCGTCCGAAAACCGATACACACGGCGCCGCTCGGGTAAATCTCCCGTCGCTCCTGCAATTGGTGCAAAATCGCTCCAATCGCAAAGTCTGACATCAGCCATTGTGCCAAAAGTTTGAAAGTGTGAGATCACAGTAGTCATGAGCCGCTGTCTAGGCTAGAGAGCACAGAGTAGCTCCAAATTGTGGCGGTTTGAAGGACCGAGCTTAAGTAGTCCGTTGACCTTTTTTTGGTTCGGCAAAGATGTTCTCTTAGTTGGGAACTACATTGTCTGCGGGTATCTTCTCACGAAACTCAATCGGGAATACGATATGTCTGCTGCTTGCAACACTAGTATGACCGGCATGTCTTAGGCCCCATTCATTTCGACATTCCGGCATTTCTCACGACTTCAGCGACCTTCGCGATAGGCTGAAAGAAATAGATGTGCATCGATTGAAATAGCTCCGTCCAGTGAGCGTTCGTCGACGCGGAATACCGGCGATCTTTTTGATCGATACTTATGCATTCCTTTCAGCGTAATCGCCAAATCGCATAATCGTATAATCGCTGAAATCGTGAGCTATGAACGATGGAATTCGTGATAATTCTCTAAGCTTAAGCCTTCGAGAATTATCACGAGTTCGCTCACTGCCACATCAGATTTTCGCTCGGCCAAGAATCGCGATTTTAATTTCAGTGAGGTGAAACTCAGTGTCTGGGGCAGATCTCATACAGAAATCGACCGTTGCTTGAGTTTGTTAAACGACATTTCATTTTTTTCTGATCGTTAATGGTAAATGCAGGAAACCAACCAACAAAGGAAAAAAATTCAATTCGCACTTTTGACTGATTAATTCCCGTTCCGAACTTATATTTATATTTAATATGATTTCATTACACCTGGTCATTAGCTACTCATTCAGGATTCCGTTGAACCGTTCTCTGTATTTGGGGACATGAACGAAGACATCGTAGTGTCCAAGTCGTGTTATGATAATTTCTCAGTGCCAACTCCATGGCGTAATTTCCAAATCATAGTGGAGGATACATCGTTGTAAGTCTGCTTTTATTGCTGATTGCTTACCTTATTCCTTTGCAGCAGAATTCCAAAACCCTGGAATTAAACGTTATCTGAAATTTCAGCTATGTAAACGCTGGCTGGTTAGCAGAGCTGTCGTCATTCTTTGCTGACTACTGCTTTGGTGAAGAAGCACACAATTCATTGATCATAGATGATATCAAACCTTCTGAAATGCTCGAGTTTTTTCGTTGTATCTTTTTTTGTCCTATGAGGAAACCGCTCACAGGTGAGATTTCGAAGGAAATTTTTCTCTGCCTTTGAAGGAACGCTAGTTTTCAAGTCTCACGTAAAAGTTTTAAGTAAAGGGTCGCACACGGTCACGGTCAGGCAAGTGGCAGACTTTGTCCGATCGCGCGGCGCTCGTTAAAATCTGTCATAAGTCACCCCAGAGTGTACGGACACAAGGCTTCCATTTGTTACACATGCTAGTTTTGACCAGCAGTTCGCCTTGCGATGTTAATGCTAAGAAGTTGATTACACAAACACCAGTCAATTCTTTGTGAAACATTTACTGGCCTAAACCAGAAGCTACTAGCCCTGCCATCCGCAGTAAACCATTGTACTCAACTCTACTTACGACCTAATTTATAAACGTGAGCCCCCACTTCGTTGACGGGACCCCGCTGCTTCTAACACCTCGCGCTGCATCAAACCAAGCGATCCGCGGTTGATCGAACATCTAGACTTCTCACGCAATGTCAATACTGCCCCACCCCCGCATCCCCCTAAACTGCTTCACTGCCCTGCTCACGGAAGCCCTCCAACATCTTCGAAGGTTCCCTTAGCATGAGCAGTGACTCCGCTTACGGAATGGCGGCCCCCTTCTACACTAGTCAGACTTAGAGTGCGCAAAACGAATCGGACTCCCACTCCATCCGTCCCCTCCCCCCTCCGCCCCTTCCGCTTCACCGCCAGCTAACTTATGGCTTCACACAGTAATTTCACTTCGTTCATATAAACACTTCATTTTTTATATTACAATCTCTGGTTCATACAATATTCTTAAGAATGGTGAGAGACTGTTCTCCGTAATATCTGCCGTGTTGCAACTTCTGCACAGATTCAGAGTCTGACAACTCACGTGGTTGTCCAAAGATTGCAAAATTTTTGCAACCGTTCCGCTAACACACTCGACCGGGATCGGCTATTCCAGGTAAAACTTTCTGGGTGATTAGTATTCTCAATAATAATTAATTTGAAGCCCGCTCAAGCGGAGCTGGCCTGAGCGCTCATTCACAGTCTTTCGTACGAGTAGCGATCGCACAGCATTAGGTACATATCGATCGTCTGATCGCCCGAAGTGTTCAACGACCGATACATTAGGCGATATTAGTGCGAATCCTGATTTAAACGGACCATCTAGTACGATCTCGAGGAAGAACCAGTATACCAATGTGAGTAATGCACCAGCCCCGGCTCCAGTGTCCGCAGCTTAATCCTTGCCGGTCCATACATCGTCCAGCTATCCGCTCCAGTTTCGCTGATTTTCGCGATTTTGCGCGAAACCTGAAACAGCAAAAATTGCAATAAGTGCCGATGAACATCTGGTACCAGAATATGAACAAAGTGAATCATGACGCCAAAACCCTTCGTAATCAGCGCCACTACACTTATCAACGTGGCCGTCAACGATCCTTAAGAGACCCTCCAGCAGACCACGGTCGACGGCCCGGCGCACCCGCTCCTTGTCTTCCTGTGATCCCCCCAGCTAAGATGAATCGCGCCAAACATCGCGCAAATCGAAATCAGCGCTCAAACCTGCGCCACGGGATCCTCACGAGACGTCTGATCACCCACTCCTACACCGACGCACCAGCCCCGTCGCGGCCACTCACAGCATTTGTACGCGCCCCCTCGCTCCCCCTCCTACTCTTTTCATATATCATCCTACGTTTTTTCCAATGTAATCTGCAAAACAAAATTTTTACTTGTTCGTTTATTTGGTTCTTCGCTTCGAACCTCCAACCATTTCTTGTACCATTGTATGGTAAAGATTGAGTAATTATCTCCCCATTTCATCAGTGCTCACTCTAGAGCACGTCCTAAACTCTAAAACAAGTGTGTCCTGTTTGTTATTACGTACTTCCGAATATTATGCAAAATCTGCACTTTGCTCAGTCAAAATACTTTTTTTTTCAAAATCAACTTTTATGTATGCCTGATACGTTAAGTTATGATAAGTTTTCAACAAAGAGGTGCTGACTTATGTTCAGAAGCTGAGTTTTGTAGTATTGTCTGCCCATACTGAGTATCCTTTCAGGTCACATGCGCAGTTTCACATTGTGACCCAAACAGCTCGACCATGAGCGTACTGGTTGACAAACTTGCTTCGATTAAGGTAACTGTTCACTTAGGCGGCAGCAATTCTAATGCTCACCTTCGATTTAGCAGTTGACGCCTCTTAGGAAACTTTCCCCCCACTCTCAGTCCCTCTTGCTCGTCCGTATGTGCATAAACCCATAGAACCTACTCATCCTTCGGCAATTGGAAAATAGGAAAAACTGACTTTTCTCTCCGATTATCTTCTCTGCTGATTCTAGCTTCGCTCGAGTCACAAAGAAGACTGTCTTCACATTCAGCGTGAGTCTTATCACATGATAGGTATATTATAACGTGTCATTGGGTTTCTCAATACGATTTCTGTAGGGAAGAGGGGTGGAGACGGGTAGGAGTGGGCGCAATAAGCCCACATTAGAGCCAGAGATGGGAGGAGAGGTCGAGCTGATTCTTAATGCCACAGGATAAGGGGCAGCTGGTTTCCATCCCATATTGCCCTCTTTTTAGCCGTTTATTGTATGTACTCAGGGCAAATTCCACTGGACTCAAACCATTATAAAGTAAACCTTGATTGCAATAGCCGGATTTCCACATATGGTTTCAACGTAAATCTTATCTTTCTTTCAAATCTTATCGATAATAAGTTCGATCGAGTGGTTTGGCTGGATTAAATGTAGTTCATTCCAGATGAGATATTGAAATAATTTGTGTAGGAAAAGAATATTTCCGTGGTTTAGGAAGAAGATTTGTCGCGAATGCAGTTCTCGCAGATGCCTGGTGATGTTGTCGCTGAAGTATACACGCAAAAATTCCGTGAACGTGAACGTAAACGTCAATTGTGGTGTTGTTTCGCGTGAGTTGAAAGGACTGAAATGTTTTGTATGAATTGGCGACTTATTAGAAGGCTGTGAAGCCTAGTCTAAAATCTCTTGAGCAGTTTGGAAGATGGTCAAAGCGAAAATCGGAGATAGAAAGGAGGAAATCAACAGAAATTAGCGGAAAGATTTCTCTATTGGTTCTTATACGCACATTTCACCTCTAATTACCCGCACATCAATGTCTTCGCCGGCAAACTAGATCTTATTGTCAAGGCAGTGTCCAGAATTTCCCTGTTTCAGTTTTGATAATACAAGCTTTTTGTTAAAGGATTACCCACCCGTTAGGGTTTCCGTGCATAAACTTCATTTGTAGAAAACGAAACCACTGATTCTAATTCGCGTTTTTCGCTAGGTAAGGGTGTCTTCTGTCCGACATCAAGGTATTTTATCTGTTGTTTTGTTCTGCTGTTCTATTTTTTCTATTCCTAGGAGGAACTGTGAAAACGAAATCATTGCTTTTTCCTTGCAAGTTTCCATTCAGAATTGCTATCGTTTACGGCAACATTGAAATCACCCACTAACTCTCATTACTTCACTTATTAATAATTGTGCAAAGTCGGAAATTACGAATTTTTCAAGCCTCAGAGAATTTTCGGGCAGGTGGCTGACTCAGTTCGGAAGTCAAATTTTGAAATAGATATGGTTTTTCTTGTGTGGGCCCTCTTTGTTCACGTGGAAAAAAGTAGATCTTTTTGAA